GCCCCGGGGCCGGCGGTGCCGGGGTCATCGGGATGATGCGGACACAGTGTCTGCTGGGGCTGCGTACGTTCGTGGCCTTCGCCGCCAAGCTGTGGAGCTTCTTCATTTACCTTTTGCGGAGGCAGATCCGCACGGTGAGCCTGGGTGGGCGCTGGCGCTGGTGGGGACCTCTGTCCACAGGCCTCGTGGGTTTCCGAAAGTATTCGGCCTAGGGCCTAGGAAAGGAGTCCTGGCGGGGTCGTCTTCTGCTAGAGAATTAGGATACCCTGAGCGGGGTGTGGGGTGGGGAGGAAGAAAACCTTTATAATAGAAATAAGATCGGGGAGGGGGTAAGTAGGCCTAGATGGTACAGAATTCGGCAACTCTTGGGGGCTAATATGGTGGGTGGGGCATTCTTTAAGAAAGCTGGAGTTGTTGCTAAAGAAACCAAGAGGCGGAGAACACCTGTTTGCTGGCAGTCGGAGCTGTTGATGTGGGTTCGTGAAAGACCCTACTATTGAAATCTCTGGGTGTGCTTGGTCTTGGAGACACAGGCTTCTGTGTCAAGGGTGGGGTGGGTAGGAGGGCATCTGTAATAAACATGGATGGAAACTTGAGAAAGCCTCACCAATGGAACGCCTCAAAAAAGGTCCTGGAAACTTCACAGTGTGAGTGTGGATGTATGGATTTTTTGAAACCCTGGAACTAAAATGCTTTTATGATGAGCATCTTTAGTTGTGGCAGGGAGCACGTTAAAATTTAGGCATTCCTGGGACCAGTCAATTGCAGAGCTTTGCATCTGAAGGGGCGCTGGTTTCTCTAGGGGGAATCTAGCATTATGAAAGGATATCCATGGGGAGTGGAGACTTTTGGGTGTACCCAGGCACCTCTGGATTCCCTTCCTGGAGCTTTTATCCAAGATCAAGCTCCTTCTGGTAACATACAGTAATTTAATGAATGCACCCTTGTTTTCTCATCACCATTGGGTGGATCCTCTGAAAGAATTTAGGAAAAACTGAGCTGGGATAAAGGTCTGTACTCTTCAGAATATTTCAGTATGATCTAAAAGAATAAAACCAAGTATGGAGGGCAGGGGTATGGGGAAAAATGAGAACCAAGACCTGTCGTGTAAAGGTACAACATCCCAATGATGAATGTAACTGTACTGTATACCTAAAAAGTACCAATAAACTCAATGAGAGAGAGAGAGAGAGAGAGAAGTATTGGCAAAGTTACAATTACAAAACAAAAACAAAAAAACCCCCAAGTATGGGCAGCATAAGTCAAGAGAATTATTCCCGGAAAGACCTAGGTGGTAGTAGTGGTTAACTTAATTGGTTGGTTTTGGGGAATGGCTTGGCTTTGAATTCATTCTCTTCTCTACCAGTCTGTTCCTTCTATTTCCTGGATTAGGGTGAGGACTGTTCTGTGTGGTGCTGGTTGTGGGCAGGCTGTTTTCCTGAGATAGGAGAGCTAGGAGCCAGGAATTTGGGGTCAGAGAGGCAGAGATGAGTGTGGGGCCGCTCCTGGGCTTTACGTTGTGTTGACTGCTGTCTTCTCTGTCTGACCTTTCTCTGAGAATCTCCCATTCTCCCCTAGTACATCATTTTTCTGGGTGTAGAGAAGTGCTCCAATCCATCTATTGGAAGGTTGGTTACTTCCAGAATTGCTTTCCTTTGGCAGCATTGACCCTATAGCCTTTTGTCCTCCCTTCCCTTCCAATGCCTTTTCTGGCAGATGCTTGGAGCATTCCCTACATGCCCAGCATATGCAACCTGAGATAGCAGGGCAGGACACCCGAGCTGTTTCAGCCCTCTTCTCACCCCCACCCCCCATATCATGGCCCAGAGAGAAGAGAAGGACAAGATGCCTTGGGATAAGGGGGAGAAAGCCCTTTGGTTTGCAAAGGGGGAGCCAGGGTCTGATGTGATTTGGGGCCTAGGCATAGACTGAAGAGTGTACCTTAGAATAAGAGAAGAGGAGCCAGGCGTTGTATGGGGAGATCTGGGTGTTAGGAATTAGTTTTTAGAGAAGACTTGGAGAAGCAGAGCTAGAAGGCTGAGGTGGTGACGTCCTTGTCCCTTCTTCACCTCTCACAGCCCTTACTTCACTTTGGCTTTTTCTATACCCTGTCTGTCAGCCTAGCAGGTGGGGCTTTCCAATGTTCTGCCTTGCCCTGGGTACCAGGATAAGGAGGCTGTTCAGAGGACTGAGGTTCTCTGCAACTTGTGACTTGGCTCCGAGACACAAGTGGACAGGTGGCTGGTTAAAATAGGTCTGGTGGCCCTCAGCCAGAAGAACTTAAATGACCTGACAACCTCTGGATTCCCTCATCCTGTGTTACTCCTTAGTGATTCAAGGACCTCCTACCCTGGTTGCTATTCCTTGTCCATTAAGGATGTGTGGCTTTTGGTTCCTAAAAGAGAGATTTGGGAGTTGCCATAAAGAATCCTTGGGGTGAAAATGAGGACCCACATCTTTATTCAGCATAACAAGATAATGTCATGGTTATAAGGGGGTGGGTTCTAGCATCAATCTTTGTGGGAATGATCCTGGCTCTACCACTTCATTGATGCTACTAATATTAACTATAATGCTGTAATATAGGCACTGGGAAAACAGCTATGATTGAGACAAAATTCATACTCTCATGAAGTTTTCATTCTAATTGGGGGTGATGAACAAATAAGATAAGGCTAGCTGTGTGGACTCAGAGCAAGGTATTTATTTCTACCAAGCTTTGGTTTCTTTAACTTTAAAATGGGGTGATATTATTATTATCGTTAGGATTGGTTTTTGTTTTGCTTTGGTGGTGCTGGAGATTGAACCCAAGACTTCATATGTGCTAGGCAAGTGCTCTATTACTGAATTTTGCTCCAGCTCTATTATGATTGTTTTATGGATTACATGAAATAATCTTTTTTTTTTTTTGGCTTTTTGAGACAGGGTCTCACTATGTAGTTGACACTGACCTGGAATTCACTGTGTAGTCCATGAAATAATCTTAAGTCATATAGTGCTCAGCATATTTGCTAGCTGCTACTGTTACTGGGGAATACTTCCTTGTCGAAGAGTTCTAATCCTTTTTCTTGATATCTTTAGGTAATTCAGTACCAAACTGTTCGATATGATATCCTTCCCTTATCTCCTTTGTCCCGGAATCGGCTAGGTGAGTATGCTGCTTGGGAAGACTTCTTGATGTTGAGGTAGCAGTCCAGCTTTGTCTGGAGGTCAGTTACGTTATCCCTTCCCATTGTGGTTCAGCCCAGGTGAAAAGGAAGATCCTGGTACTGGATCTGGATGAGACACTTATTCACTCCCACCATGATGGGGTCCTGAGGCCCACTGTTCGGCCTGGAACGCCTCCCGACTTCATCCTTAAGGTGTGTCTGGGGTGGGGAGTGATGAAATGGCTCCATCTGTTACTGTGTCCAGTTTCAAGCTCCTTTTCCCAGTCCTAGAGAATCTGGTTCTCAAGCTCTGGCACCAGTGTCAGCTTGAAAGAGAGAAGCAGACAGGGTATAGAGAAAGCCAAAGTAAAGTAAGGGCTGTGAGAGGTGAAGAAGGGACAAGGACGTCACCACCTCAGCCTTCTAGCTCTGCTTCTCCAACCCCCTGGGGGTTAGTATTCTCTGTGCCTGTATGCTGGTGCCCTGGACTTCCCCCAATCTTTCCCTTCTATAGGTGGTGATAGACAAACATCCTGTCCGGTTTTTTGTACATAAGAGGCCCCATGTGGATTTTTTCTTAGAAGTGGTGAGTGTGTGAATGCTAAAGGAAGCTCTGAAGGACTGGGTACAGGGCTTTGGGAATTTAGGGGTTTTAAAAGAAGGGGTGAAGAAAGATGGGTGGTGGTAGTTTTGGAGAGACTATAGGAAGACAGGGAATGACTTGGAGTAGACAGGGTTCATTTGTGGTACTGATGTAATTCTATTTTTCCACAGGCATTTGCTCTTGTGTTTTCATTTCTATACTGTAAGGGTATAGGATTCCTCAGACACTGAATTTAGAGATTTGGAAGGGGTGCAGAATTTTGTTTACCCAGAGACATTTGATGTTGCCAGAGGCCAGAAAGACTAGGCCAAAAGAGAAGTCTGTGCCAAATGAATGATCATTTCATATGACACCTCTCTCTTCTCCAATCTATTTCAGGTGAGCCAGTGGTATGAGCTGGTGGTGTTTACAGCAAGCATGGAGATTTATGGCTCTGCAGTAGCAGATAAACTGGATAATAGCAGAAGCATTCTCAAGAGAAGATACTACAGACAGGTAAGGGGCTAGAATCCAGGTCTAGGGTAAGGCTTGGGAGGCAGACCATCAGGGAGGGATTGGGGTTTGAGGTAACTGCCCTGGAGCGGGTGTGAGGAGGCATGGAGGAGGCATACTGCGTAATCCCGTCTTCCAGCACTGCACTTTGGAGTTGGGCAGCTACATCAAGGACCTCTCTGTGGTCCACAGTGACCTCTCCAGCATTGTGATTCTGGATAACTCCCCAGGGGCATACAGAAGCCACCCAGGTATGGGGAAAGGTGGTGAGTGTGGCAGGACCAGGACATGGTCTGTGGAGGGGTTTTTTGGTGGTGATTGGGATGCAACCCAGGACTTCATACATGCTAGGCAAGTGTTCCACTTAGCTCCATCCCTGGATCCTTGAGGACATATTTTGAATGCAGGGAAGGAGGCAGGAGACACGGGCCTTGGTATACTGTAGACCCAAGTGTAATTTATTTCTGTATTTCAAACAAGGCACTCCTGTATCTGTCTATTACATAAATCATACGTCCTATATTAAATATGTTTCAAGTGAGGCACAATAGCAGTGTTTGACTAGAAGCTTCACACTAGTTTGAGACCTGGTGATTAATATTGAATCTTACTCTTGTGTGGATAAATTAGGAAGTTGTTTATTTAGGTTGTTGGAGATGGAAAAGGTGTTTTTGGAGTCTTGAGACAGGGTCTTGCTGGGTAATTCAGGCTAGCCTTGAACTCACTGTGTATCCCAGGCTGGCTGGCCTTAAATTCAGAGCAGTCCTCCTGCCTCAGCTTCCTGAGTGCTGGGACTCTGGGTATGCACCACTGTGCCTGGCTTAGAAGGAAAAGATTTTTAAGTAAAGAAATATGTAGAAACTGCAGGTGCTCCTGAATCTTTTGTTTCTCCTCATGTATATTTTCACCCTCCGTAGACAATGCCATCCCCATCAAATCCTGGTTCAGTGACCCCAGTGACACAGCTCTTCTCAACCTGCTCCCCATGCTGGACGCCCTCAGGTAAGTGAACTGGATTCTTGGATTTCTGAGGAAGGGTTGGGGGAAATCCCAAGAGAATAAAAATGATTGTCCTGTTTACCAACCTCTCTTCCCTTGAGAACTTAAAGAGTTTGGACCAGGTTGTTCTCCAAAGCTTATCACTTTTAGCCATTGGGTTCTGGTCACACCAAGCCTATGTCATCATGTGAAAGTGGTGATAAATGCTTTCCCTGTATCTCCAGTGAGGCCTGCTGTGTGCTAGTGCTATGAACAAGTCAACTATAAGGTACTCCACCAACGCACGTTATTGTCATCCCAGGTTCACCGCTGACGTTCGTTCTGTGCTGAGCCGAAACCTTCACCAACATAGGCTGTGGTGACAGCTGCTCCCCCTCCACCTGAGTTGGGGTGGGGGGGAAGAGAGGGTGAGCCCTTTGGATGCTGGCTGATGCCCTGTCCACTGTGAGGACTGCCTGGGCAGGGTGTGCCCTTCCCAATCCTCTCTGCCCTGGGAGCCCTGCACTCCACTTGGAGTCTGGATGGACACATGGGCCAGACTGTGAAGCAGCCTCACTAACTTCGTGTTCACACTCCATGGAAACCCCAGACTGGGAAGGCAGAGGCCATGGACAGCTGAAACAGTGGCTGGTGGAGGCAGGACTGGCTGGAGTGAGACACAAAGAGTGATCCCGGAGGCTCAAAGAGAAACCAACTCAGCTTTGTTGTGATTTGATTTTTTAAAAACTCTCATACAAAACTGATCTAAATTCGTCACTCCTACTCCAAGGGCTGGGCTGTGGGTGGGAGATTGGGATTTTGGGCCACTGGATCTTCCCCAGACTTCTTCCCTTTCTTTCCCTCTGTTTTTCTCTCCTTAGATTCCCTTAGGCCTGTAACCAGCTCTTTTTTCCTTTCATCTCTTTTAAACCATGCATTATAACTTTGAAACCAAAGTTGCCCTAGGTCCTTCTCTGGGGTATTGGGAAATGAAGGGAGGGGACTTTGTTCACAATCCACCCTGCCTCCGAGGCAAAGGGAAATATTGCTGTTGGGAGTAGGAGGAAAGGTGGTGTTGAGTAGCGACCCGGAGAAGCTCGCAGCTGACAGCAGGCGCCTTAATGGAACGAGTCCTGGGTGACAGGATGAGTGCTCTGGTGAGAAGCATATAGACAGCATCAGCAGTAGGATGTAGGATGAGGAGAAACGTGGACGCCACAAAAGGCCTATCTATGGTTGGAAAAGGCTGGGTTTCCAGAGGACTGACGTGGACTGTCTGAACGAGCTCTGCCCCCAGGCGGCTGACGTCCCGGCCTCCAGGTCCGAGGCTGGGCCGGTCGTCTCCCGGCTCCTGCCGCGGCCCCGCCTCCCGGGGCCGGCTCTACTTCCTCACGCCGCCACGTGACGCTCCGCCCTTCTCAGAGATCACATGATTCACAACAAACCTAAAAGTGTTCTTCCGCGGCGGCATAGTCCCTTCCGATCCGACCTTATCTCCAATTCCTATTGGCCCGTTTATTCCTAGAACCTAGGCCTTTTATATATCTGTCCAAACATCTATTTTCTTTCTTCCTTATTTTGAGTTCATCTGCCACTTGGGTACTACTTTGTTTTGGTGTCAACGGCCGCCTTCAGCGTAGCCACACGTTTCGTGAATAGCCTGTAATTGTTTCACCTTTTCTATGTTATTTTCGAAAAGAACATCTGGAGAACCAGACCTCATGATTATCATCTACCCCTTTTTATCTCCACCTTCGTGGGAAAGGGGAGACCGGGAAAGGGTTTTCAGTTATTTTCAGTTATCACCGTTAACAAAAGCCAACTACCTTTACTACGTCGCCTGCGCGGCCCACAAGTTGATTCCAAAGCATTACGCTAATGGCGTGAGGTGGGCGAACCGCGGGTGGTTCTACGATAGCGGCGTTAGCTGCCGGGCTAGTGGCGTATTTTAGCAGGCGGGGCAGGTCGGGATGGTCGGGGGCGGGGTTGGTGAATAGGGAAGTGGCGCAAATTCGTGGATCGCTCCGCTGAGTCCGCCCGCGCGTTACTGCCATCGCCGCCGCCCCCTGTCCCGGCCCCCCCTCCCCGGGTTCCCTCAGACTAGCTCGGTCCACCCCGGTTCCCGGGAGGATGAAGTTCGTGTACAAAGAGGAGCATCCGTTCGAGAAGCGCCGCTCTGAGGGCGAGAAGATCCGAAAAAAATACCCGGACCGGGTTCCGGTGAGGACAGTAGCTAAGGCCGCGGCAAGGGACGCTGACGCCGCAGACTGGGCTTGGGACCTATGCGCGGGAGTCAGGCTACCATCTGTGGTGGGGCTGGGAGTGTCCCTGACACTGCTATCCCTAGTACTAGGGGTTGAAAGGAATGGAGTAGCAGTAGAGCTGGCGGATAGTGGATGTGGATGGGAGAGAGAAGCTTTGGCATTTGGGAATGGAGACCTTAAATTTTGACAGACTGAGCGTCACACACACGGTCATTTTCCTAGCTAGCTAGCTTTTCAAGATTGACTCTGTAGTCGGCCCAGACGAGTCGTCAGGCTTCTCTGGTTAAGGTAGTTATTTATTATGACGCACCTTTCAGGTATTGATCCTAGATATTTAGATGAGCCAAGTGGGGTCAGGATCTCTGGACTCACTGCTACACCGCGTGTACAGAGACAAAGAAGTGAGTCTTAAGTACTCGGAATATAATAGCTTAAATTCTTGACAAGTGGAGCTGTGGGCTGTATTCCTTATGTCAACTTTTTTTTTTTTTTTTGGTACTGGGGATTGAACTGGGGACCTTGTACTTACGAGGCAAGTACGGCACTACTGAGATAATCCCCAGCCCATGTCAACTAATTTTTATTTTCTCTTTTATCAGGTAATAGTAGAAAAGGCTCCCAAAGCTCGGATAGGGGACCTGGACAAAAAGAAATACCTGGTGCCTTCTGATCTCACAGGTGGGAACCTGACCCAAGACCCAAATTTGCTTCCTGTGGGAGTGCCTTTTGCAGGGGGGGGGCAGGTGGAGGCGTGGGGCGGGGCGAAGACGGACAGGACGCTTGGCCATATTCCCCACCTACCAACAGGTCTTCTGAAGGCTTTTATGAGTTCTGTGACTTTCTTGTATGTTGTATCTTTGGCAGTTGGTCAGTTCTACTTCTTAATCCGGAAGCGGATTCATCTTCGAGCTGAGGACGCCTTGTTTTTCTTTGTCAACAATGTCATTCCACCCACCAGTGCCACAATGGGTCAGCTATACCAGGTATGGTGCCTAGGAAGTAGTGGAGAGGTCTTGGGAGAGCTTGATAGGAAGAAAGTACTAGGTCAGCAGTTCTTCGACCAACTGGCACGCTTGCCTTAAAATTTCATGATTGTCCTGGATTGGTATTTGGACAGACCCGTGAGAGTACAGAGAAGGGAGAGACCAGTAAGCTGGAGGAACTGTTACGATGGGGTTTTTATCCAGTTCCTCTTTCCATTCCAAGGTCTCAGGGAAGAGTTTGAGATCTTTCCACTCAGGACTGCTGCGGGGTAATACTACTTGGCTTCTAGGGTCTGGTCAGTGTGGCCATGGGGTGGGATGGAGTTGGGTAGACTTTAAAAAGAATTTTCTTTTTTTTTGGTACCAGGGATCAAACTTGGGGGCCTTGCACTTGTGAGGCAGGTGACAAAACCACTGAGCCAAATCCCCAGGCCCTAAAAGGAATGGTTCTTGAAGAATGTGCCTAGATGATGAGTGTGGTTCAAGTTACTGAGGGCTGTTGCATGAACAGCATTTTTGCTTTCATCTTAGGAACACCACGAAGAAGACTTCTTTCTATACATTGCATACAGTGACGAAAGTGTCTACGGTCTGTGAGGCTGCTACCCCTGAGGTGGGGGGTTCCATTCTATGAAGAGAAAGGTGGCATCCCTTCCCTGATCTACATTTCCTTCAGGCTCAAACACAACCTCCCTTCTTCAGGACCTGCACTTCTTAAAATATTAAGGCTTTCTATCCAGCCCCTCTTAGCAGGAGGGGTAATAGTGGACATGGCCTTTTGTACCTCTCCTTCCTCCTTTCTTCCCCTTTCTTTATCATCCTTTCCCACTGTACTTTTAGACTTCTTGTCAATCTCTGTCACACCGAGTGATTGTTTTGGTTTCGGTTCCCTTTCTAACTCTCCAGGGAGTTCAGAACCCCAACAATCCCTTTCACAACCTTCTTTTTTTGGGTAATGGGAGGGATTGAAATTGTGGGGGAGGGAGTAGGAGACACATCAATAAAGAAGAAACCAATTGAACTGAATTTTTCCTTGTGTTGTCCCCTCTTTTTTTTAAGTTTCAAAGGTATCCTGGGCTTCAGTGGTGTGGAAGGAGAAAGCCGGAGTAGGCTGGAGGAATAGAAATATATTTTATTTATTTTGTTGATGGCAAGTTCCCTATCTGCATAAAAATGGTGCATTTATATTGTGAATGGAATACTAATTTTATATACATGTGTATCGGGTTCTATTGTAAAAAATACTGTTTTTTACTTTGACTTCCTATGGAGAAAGTTTGAAAGTCATTTAGATAACCAAGTTTGTTATTCTATATTAAGGAAGAGTTGTTCACGTGTAGGAAGCGGTAAAAGAACTATTTTCAGTTGCATGTCACTTGCAGACCTTGTCCCTGCATGTGCGAGCCAGTGAAGTGGAAACCCAGGGAGGAAGACTGGGAGGAGGGAGCCATTATCACCAAGGGAACTTCATCTCCCAGTAATCATCTCCTGACAGGAAGTGGGGCGTTTCCCCGGGGAAGAAAGACGGCACAGAAGGAAACCCTATGGTGGCCGAGAGTCCTAATCCCTTCTTCCTTAGTCCTGCCCAGCCTACATTTCCCAGGAGCCTGTGCGCGCTCTTCCGCTTACCCCTTTCTCCCTATCCCCCCGCCACTCCCGGGAGGAAGGGAGCGGCTTATTGCGCCTGCGCCAGCCCGTGGCTTGCTGGGAACTGAGGTTTCGGAGGCTCATGCGTTCCCCTTTCCGCCGTCCACGGAGGAACTACAAACCCCTTGGTGCACTGCGGCGTCGGCGCCGGGGAAGGGGGAGAGGAGGAGGGAGGAGGGAGGAGGAGAGAACAGGCGGCCGGCGGCGCGGGGGGGAGGGGGCCCGGTCCGGGAGTGCGGGAGGCGGTGGTAGAGGGAGGTGGTGGCAGCGGCTAGCGGACTGAAGTCTTAACCCGGTCGAAGCGGACACTTCTGTGCAGCGAGGCAGTAGGAGTACCGAACACCAGAGGCAGCACCGGGATCTTCGGCTTAGGGGAGGGGGCGCCGGACCGGGAGGAGGGGAGGGGGCGATGCTGGAAGCCATGGCGGAACCCAGTCCCGAAGGTGAGCTCTCGACCGGCTCAGGGCAGACGGGAGGCGGGCAAGGAATCAATTGGCAAACTTGGAGGTCGAGCCCCGAGCCAAGCGGGGGAGTGCGGGGAAGGGGTCCTGGAGGTGGGAGAGCGACTAGTTGAGAGACGTTGGAGAAAGGAGTGGGAGACTGGGTTGAGATAGTTGGAGATCAGGCACTGTGTGTGTGTGGGGGCGGGGGTAGAAGCTGGAAACTCTGAGCTTCGGGGGTTAGGGGCCAAAAGGGCCTTACACAGGTTGGGGCCCTGGAGCTGGGCGGTTGGGGGAATCTGGGTGCAGGAGAGTTGTTGAGGGGGAACGTAAGAGAGGAGTGAGTGAGGGGCCCAGTAGTTGCCCGAGGTGGGGGAGTTTATGACGGTGGTGTTGGAGCTCCTAGTAGTTGCCGCCAGAGATAGCCCGGTGATTGTTAGGAAGAGTGGGCAGGTAGTTGTGGGGAGAAGAGGGGGTCTGGTATTGTCTGTGGTGGAGAAACCTGTACTCGGGTGTAGTTGTGGGGCGAGAAAGCCGGGAAGCAAGGCGAGCTGGGTAGTTGTAGGGGGCAGTGGGGCGGGGGGGGGGGGGTAAGGCCGGGGGCTT